TCCACTTGGCTTCCAGGATTGATGTCCTGGATTTCTTCACTGGTGTCACATGATACCAAGAGAACCACCTATATATGGGAGAGAGTCAGAATCTATGTTGTTTGGTCAGTTATGGTTGGTGGTTGGCGAAGCACATTGTTACTCTGTATAGCTGTGAGTATTCAAGACAGATGTCTGATACTCTGTATATCTTTGTAAATATTTGCAACAAAGATTAAAGCCCTCTCTGAGAGAAGCTTCACTGTGAAGCTATTCCTTTCTCTAAGATGAAAGCAGCAGCTGCATGTGGGAGGTTTTTTCCTGTGCCATCTGGAGCAGACTCTTCACAGAAGACCAGCTTCTGGGTGTTCCTGCCTACATGCATCTACTCTGTGTGTATGCTAGATCCGCACTGTCTGCATACCCCAACAGAATTTATGGAAAGATGCTCTGTATAATGTTTAGGCATTATAGTTAATTGTATAGCTCATTATGAACTATTTTAATTACTAAATTGATTGATAATTTGTTATGTAATAATAATAGCAATAGTAGTAGAGAAAGAAGAAGACAACAACTTAGGGCCGATGCAGACCAGCACAAAGAGTCGACCTGGGGTGGAGTTGGCACGGGGCAGCTGCATGCTGGCCACCCCAACTCCACCGCAACACTGTCCTGACACCACGTGCCTGTCAGAACGACACATGGTGTCAGGATGCCCTCCTGGTGCAGTGTGCACACACACTGCACCAAAAGGGTGCAAAAGAGTGGTGGCACCGTCTCTAGGGGTGGCCTTTTGCTGCCCCTAAAAGAAGTGGCATTTTGTCGCTCTTTTTGGGACAGCAAAAAGGAGGATTAGGACTGCGGCGTGTCATCCGCGACTCTCAGGACCGCCAAGAGCTGCCCCAAACAGGCCGTCTGTATCGGCCCTAATTCTTTGGAGATTTTTAAACAGAAGTTGGATCTCACAGGACTGCTTTGGTTGGATATTCTTGTGTAATTTGGCACTGGAATATATGGTTCTTGTAGTCTCTTCCTTCTCTGTTGTTCTATAATTCTATGACATTGCCATGTTCACCAAGATAGATTGTCTTTGCTGAGAACTGGACAGGGGGAAAAGTACACCTGTTGCTACTGTTGGACCTCTGAAGAGCTTGGTAGAAGATGGAGTGAGTTTGGTCTCTGCTGCTCCAAAGACTAGAATGTGAACCAGTGGATTCAAATTACAAGAAATTAGGAGAAAAGAGATTCTACCTAGACATTAAGAAGTAATTTTTTTGTGAGCACTGGTTGACAGTGGAATGAACTGCCTCAGAGGGTGATAGACTCACCATCTCCGGAGCTCTGTAAACAGAAGTTGGATAGACACCTTTCAGGCATGCTTAGTTGTGTAATCCTCCATGACAGGGATATATCCTTTGTGGTTCCTTACAACTTTAAGTTTAAGTTTACTTTGACATGGCTACTGTATCATAGCATCTATTGTGCAAGACTTATTCAGAGGATGTTTGCCATTGTCTTCCTAAATGTGGCTGAAAGAGTATGACTTGCCCAGTGTCATTTAGTGGGTTAGTGGCTGACCAGGGGCTTGAATCCTGATCTCTTTGAATCGTAGCCACTATACCATATGTCTCAAACCACTATAACATGCTAGCTACTCATGATGAATACTTTCCTTTAAAAAATAAATTAAACCTGCTTTCCCTACTCTCTAAAGTAATTAAAATAGAAACTTTAGAAGAAAAAAAACCAAATGCTGCAGGGATATATACAAAACATGCCCTTCTCCCATTTCTCAGAATCCATAATGGAACATAAGGTGGCAGCACAAGACAAGCCTTCAACCATGTGATAACACATCATGTGTGACACTGTATAACCTAAGTATAAAGTAACTAAAAGTTAAAGTAAAGGTAAAGGTATTCCCCATTGACAAGGTTGTCAAGTTGTGTCTGACCATAGGAGGCGATGCTCATTTCCGTTACTAAGCCGAAGAGCCAGCATTGTCAGAGACTACTCTGTGATCATGTGGCCAGCATGATTGCACACAATGCTGTTTACCTTCCCACTGAAGTGATACCTATTTATCTACTTGCACTTGCATGCTTTCGAAATGCTAGGTTGGCAGAAGCTGGGACTAGTAGTAGGAGTTCGCCCCATCATGCAGCACTCGGGCCTCGAACTGCCAACCTGCTGATCTTGCAATTAACAGAGTCAGCGTCTTAACCACATGACCCACTGCATCCCTTAACTAAAAGTTATCATTACCATTACCCCAGGAACTAAAAGATAGCTGCATCACATTACAATTGTAAGGTAATGATTTTTTGTTACCATTACATTAAAAAAATAATTAATTTACAGTTATAATGTGATATAGCGATCTTTCAGTTACCAGGGAAAGGCACTAACAGTTTATAACTAAGCATCTTCAAAGCTCTGGTTGGTGTCTAGCTATTAGCTTCTCATAGAAGAAAAAAGTCCAAAAACTGTTTTAAAAATGGGATAATTGTCATATGCTAAGAAATTATCTTTTTTAAAACAGCCCAAGAATGTCTATAGCTCAAGTAACAAGTTTGAGTATTACACTCTTTATCAACAAGTGATCATAGGTCATTACTCCTTTCTGGCTTTAGGCAATTTGATGGAAGAAAACGTGATGATATAAATCAGAAATGACAATCCACTGAAGGGAGCTAAGCACAGGGGTCATGAACTTTTCAGCTAATTTCTGAAGCTTACCTATATGAAGAGACAACTCTATTTTCAGCCTGTGGTGCTTGCTCTAGAAATACGAATACAGATTATGCTGGAATCTTGAGCTGAAATGTTTACTAATTTCTTCTCAGAAAGGAAAAGAAGATAACAGTCTCCCCCTCCCCACTCCCCCAGGTAATGTAAATTAACAATGTACAGGCATACACTTGGAGAACACACTCCTATGCTCACTAGGAATGAGTAATACAAATGCAGGGGTAACTATGTCGATCATAAGACAAATTCCAAAGCCTGTAATACTTTGATTAGCCAATCAAAAAGGCACAAAATTATGTGTATAACCTTTTAAAACACCCCCCCAGCAAAGATAGTAAAGAAGGATGAATCTGAGACAGATTGAATGATGTTGTTATGCATGCGGTCTGCATGTGGTTCTGTGCTGTTTCCTTCATGCCATGACATGCAGTCTATATGACTAACATTCTCTCATCCTCTGCATTTTTTTGAAACCATCTTTATCTGGTGAAAAAGCACAAAAATTGTTGTGCAAGCTTGTGATACATGCAAGCTTGCTCAACAATTTTTGTGCCTTTTCAGTCAGCCTAATGTAGGGAGTGCTAAGATCTAAGTTTTGCTTTGTTTCTGCTAAGAATTTTTCAAAGTTTACAGATTTCTCCATTATTATTATTATTTTAAAAATTGTTTAGGAGAAATAAAGAGAGAGACAGTGTGGTGTAGCATTTAGCATTTACACTTCTATACCGCTTCATAGTAAACTAAGCACTAAGCTGTTTACAATCTGTAAGCCAATTGTCATCAATAAGCTGGGTACCATCCTATGAAAGGCTGAAAGGCTGAGTCAACCTGGAGCTCTCTGGGATTGAACTAACAATGTTGTGGCTGCGGTACTGGCATTTAACCACTGTGCTACCAGGGCAAGTGAAGTGGTTTAAGTGTTGGACTAGGACTCTGGAGACAGGGTTCGACTCCCCTCTTGGCCAAGGTGATCTTGGGTGAGTGATAGACTTTCAGTCCCAGAAAACCCCATGATAGGTTCACCTTAGGGTCACTGTAAGTTGGAAATGACTTGAGGGTACACAACAACAACAAGGAGGATTTGGCCACAGTTTCCATACTGAACCCACTAATTAACACATCCATTTGTCCAGTATAGTGGTCACCTTGAGGTCCAAATACCAGATCCAGCAAGGGAACCTAAGGGTAAAGGGGAAATGATAGCAGCCAAAAGGCTGAAACCATGAGGCCAATATGGTTAAAGGTTCTGTCAGATTTGCAAACTCACAAATCACATATTTGTTATGGAATGAAGCTGAAGTTTAATGAACCTGAAGTCAATGCAAGAGGAAAGGAAAGTGATGGAATTTCCCACCCCAACATGCAGAAAGTGAAATTTGATTCTCTTTAAAGATGCTGCAAATTAGATTGAGCTGTCAATATCATTTGTGCATTTGGTACCATTAATTGCTAATTGCAGGTTTTGTGTTGATGAAGATGGATGTATAAGTTATCCAGTATCCAGTGGGATGGGTGAATCCACTTTACATAATTTCAGCATTTTGATATCACTTTAACTTATCCTCATCCTCTGGAATCCTGGGATTTGTAGTTTGGTGATGTGATTAGACTTTTTCTGCAGAGGAGTCAATTGTTTTTGTTCTGGGAAATGGATTAAAGAATTGGAATAACCTCATCAAAACTACAAACCACAAGACTCCATAAGATAAATCTATGGCAACTCCAACAGTATCAAAATTCGATAATTGAGCAAAGTAGATATACCCTATGACAGACTCAATAAATGGAGGGAGAAGGATTCAGTCTAAATCAGTCCCTCAGGCCTGTGGTGTTCAGAGTGTATGCTGTTCCAACATAGGTTACTCCCATCTAAATTACATGGATCTACCCTAAGGACACTGCAAGGCATGAAGACATACAGCGAGCCTCTCTGTAAACAAGTATGATACAAGCTTTCATCTCACAGCAGGGCATAAATGGTGTTTTCTAATAGATACAAAGTTCATCACAGAATGAGAAAGCCAGGGATTGAACTCTTGGCCACCCTTGGCCTTCCAGTGTCTCTCTCTCTCAGCATCAGTCTCTTCATGAGCAAAAGGGAATGACAAGGACCACAACACACTGCACGCTAAAAAGTGCTATCCGAATGGCAAATAAGATTTGTTTCCAGTGAAGTGAGCAAGAAAAACGACATGGTGGAATACTACTGTTTTTCTTAAAATTCAATGCAATTCCAATTACTTTACGAGAGAGCTGTCCACCTAGATTTCACATAACCCCGAATAAGGCAGAGGTTTTCCATGTTATCTTCCATCTATGCTTTCTAAAGTTTGGTTTCTCATTTCTGAAACTGAAAAGACATTTATTGTCAGAAGACACTTTACAGTATGATTTATTCATTGCCATTTTTCCCAGCTTCTAATTGCCCCAAAGGTTATTCTTATAATGCAAGAGTGGATAGTGTAAAGCCTTATATTATTATTATTATTATTATTATTATTATTATTATTAGCACTATTACTACATTTATTTATAGCCTGCTCTTTCCCCCAAATTAGGGAAAATTTAAAACTTATTTAAAAAAATAAAATACAGTATCTTTAGAGGGGGGCTTCCCCCTCCACACCCATTTTTTTCACTCAATAAAGGTCAAAACATACATATACACATACTTACTTTTATTTAAATATCTGTATTCCTTATATCACAAAACCATGGTGTACAAATAAAATCAATTTAAGTGAATTAAAGGTTAAGGTTTTCCCTTGACATGAATGTCTAGTCGTACCTGATTGTAGGTGGTGATGCACATAGGAGCCCTGGTGGTGCAGTGGTTAAATGCCTGTATTTCAGCCACTCACTCACAAACCACAAGGTTGTGAATTCAATACCAGCCAAGGGCTCAGGCTTGACTCAGGCTAGCCTTTGAGGTAGCTTAAATGAGTACCCAGCTTGTTGGGAGCAATTAGCTTTCAGCTTTCAGTTTCAGTTAGACTGCATAGCATGGTATGAAGTGGTATATAAATGAAGCTGTTATTGCTATTATGTATCCAAAAGTCTTTGAATGGGAATTTTATTTAGCTCGAGAGGGAGTCAGCTACAAGGACCCTGCGAGACCATCTCCCATGTGTATATCAAGAGATGGGGGATCTTAAGAATTGATGCAGAGGCTGCATTAAGGGTAGGCAACCTTTCCCCTTTAAGGGCCGAGGCACTTCAGCTCCCAGAATCCCAGGAGCTATTGGCCAACATGGGATTATTGGCCAACATGACTGAGGCTTCTGGGAGCTGAAGTACTTTGGCCCTTAAAGGGGAAAGGTTGTCTACCCCTGGGCTGTATCCTCAAATTAAAGTATTATTTATTGAAAAATGGGAAAATCACACAACAATACACACTCACACACATGCTCATGCAGAGCTTGGGAAATTAGGGGTTAGACTGAAATAAATGCTGAGGCAGCACCACATTGTATTTACTACCAATGAAGTCTTCTCTGGGATCCAATTGGGTGAAGTGGTGTGACGCAGGGTCCTCCTGAACTCAGACTAGCGAGACTAAGGGGAGAAATCCAGGGGTTTTTAAGGAATCAAACTAGCCACTGGCAAGATGCTTGATTGCTTGGCTAAAGCTTAGACAAAGGGGATTGATTTTTTTGGCTAAAGCTTTAGATGGTTTGACTAAGACTTTAGATTGTTTGGCCAAGTCTTAGACAAAGGTGTTAGATCACCTGGGTGAGGTAATCCGGTCTGGCAATATTGAAGGGGAGATGAGAGAGGATTTAGCTGTTAGTTAGCCCATCAGGTGAGGCATCCTGGGCCATTATCACCCATCTTTCTGATTATAGAGGTGATGATGGTCCATTTTCAACTCCCACACTATCTGCCTGACTATGGAGGCTGGGGATTTTCCAGTCTTCCAGGTGACCTGGACCTGACCTCTTTGCCATACTATGGAAGCACCTGAGGTTCACTGCAGAGTGCATCTGGGGCCATGTGAAATTCATACACACACTAAAATTCAGAAAAATGCACTTTCGTTAACAATTGCTATCTCCATTACTAAATTAAAGAGCCAGTGGGGTTCAAAGACTAATCCAGTAGTCATGTGGCCAGCATGACTGCACAGAATGCTGTTTACCTTCCCCCTGAAATGGTACCTATTTATCTATTGCATTTGCATCCTTGCGAACTGCTAGGTTGGCAGAAGCTGGGGCTAGTGATGGGAGCTCACCCCATCATGCAGCACACGGGCCTCTTACTGCCAACCTGCTGATCTTGCAGTCAACAGAGTCAGCATCTTAACCACATGAGCCACTGCATCCCTAACTAAAAGTTACCATTACCATTACCCCAGGAACTAAAAGACAGCTGTATCACATTACAATTTTAAGGTAATGATTTTTTGTTACCATTACATTAAAAAAATAACTTGCAATTGTAATGTGATATCATCCCGTCATCAGCACTTAGGCCTTGAACTGCTAACCTTCTGATCTTCCGATCGTCAGAATTGACATCTTAATCACTAAGCAACCCTATCTCACCTAAGTGAATTAAAACAACTTAAAACAATAATTTTAACCTACTAAAATCATTTTAAAGTTAAAAACAGGATTTAAAAACTGGAAATTATTTCAACCATGTACACAGACAGTTATTGATTATTATTATCATCTCAGCAGGGAGGAAAGGAAAGGAGGGAGAAATCTTGCCCTTCCTTGTAGATTTACTGCTGCAACCTCTCCTAACTTGTTTGTTAATAACCTTCACCAACAATCTGATGTTTCCTGGCCACATTTGTCTCTTTTATCATCTATGAATGTTGGAGGGTATGCCTTTGCCCTGTCCAAAGAGGAAGAACCTTTACTTCTAATTAATATATAGTGTTGTTGTTTTTTTAAATATATTCTCATTAAAACACAGGGTTCTGAATCTTAGCATTTATGGCTAAATGATTATGAATGTGGATCTGAACCCTACATGGAGTGTTTAAAGTTAATTTTAAAGAAGCGGCCTTTGCTACATATTAAACCTGAATCCAATTTTACAAAGTTTGTCATGTGTATGTGTTACAACAATTGTGTGTCTAAGCAGCGAAATATGGGAGATAAATCTACGGTATCTTAACAGAGCAGATGCAGAATTAACTTTGAAAGGCTAATCAGTGCACTCCCTGCAGCATTCTCATTCAGCTGTGTATTACTTCACTAAACTGGAATTTACACACTGGCAATTTACTTCCAGATGTAAGAGCTGCCCATTCCAGTGTAGTGAGAAAATAAATAATTTTACACGATAAATGATTAGCAGATTATGGTAAAGGTTCTCAAACTGTCATAGCAGGCTTCCACAAATCAAGGAAACTCTTGAAAGATCTGCAGCTGTTAAGGCTTGGTTTTAAATAAAATAAAATGATACAAGAAAACTGACAGTAACACTTAACAGCCATATAACAGCCATATATAAGCTTGCTGTTGTTGTGTGCCTTCGTTACTTCCAATTTATGCTGACCATAAAGCAACCCTATCACCAGATTTTCTTAGCAAGTTTCTCCAGAAGGGGATTGCTACTGCCATCCTCTAAGGCTGAGATAATGTGACTTGTCCAGGGTCACTCATCAGGTTTCATGGCTAATCGGCAATTCAAACCGTGTTCTCCAGAGTCATAGTCTAACATTCAAACCACACAACCACGTTGGTTCTCACCTTGTGCTAAAATGGCACAACTATTTTGCTTTAATGCTGCCAGATGAATGGCCCTTGTAAGCAAAGTAATAGGTTTGTGAGATTAAAAAAAAAATAGCTATGTAGCTCCTACCCTCCAATATTTCACAGATGAAAACAGAGACAAGTAACATCAGAATGGGGCCAAGATGGTAGAAGTTATTAATGAGGAACAATATACAAGCTAGAAGAGGCTGCAGCAGTTTGCTCTTGCCTGAGTCTTTTTGGAAGGGCAAGATATG